GGAAAGTTAGGGTTTTTCCTCTCAAATCAACTCCATTGTTCACGTAGATCTAAGCTTAACTCTCTCTAATATTAAGTATCATACATAGATAAAGGTTATCTCTCGAAAGTTCTTACAAATTTAAGCTATAAAACAATGAACAATGTAAGTATACTAGAAATGTTTTAACATTCATTAAAACAAAACACAATCATCCAAAATAAACCCAAGCCAAACTAAGTTAGTTCATGGTTGAGTAATAAACATCCTTTAAAATTATTCGAACAAAAACCCCAAGCAAACAGCAAACAACACAAGAGAAAACTGAGGAAAAAACTCCTAAGTTGTCGTGGATTACTGTGAACCATCTCGAGCTCTGCTACTTCTCTCAAAGGCCAACGAGGTTTATCACCTTGGAGCTTCAACAATGGAGCTCACCATGATGAAGGAGATAAAAAAGAATAATGATCGCCTCTCACTTCTCTCTCTCTCTCTTATCTCACAAATTCCAATCTACTTTATTTTATGGGTTTTTTTTCTTTATATAGTAGGGCTCATAGGGTTTTGTGCCCTCCAATATTTTTGTGCTTAAGGGAAATATTCCCTTCACGTGTAGATCCACAACTAGCAAGGGAGGTCACATATGAAGTTAATAAAATATCTTCTTTTGTCATTATCTGCCCCCATAAATGTCATCCTAAATGTTGTAGTAAATTTATGTCCCCCGACAACTTTCCTTAATATGCACATAACACCACTGAACACTATATTTTCTTTATCAAAAAAATTATTTATAGAATAATTAAAGACCAACAAGCAAACCACAAGTATGATTAATGCAACTAAATGAGACTAAATACGATTATGTGAGCCTTATGAAATATAACCTTTTTATGGGATTATTATACAACCAGAGTCAAGGATCTCCACCCCTTGCTCGCCTTCGCATTGTCGTCGGAAGCCACTAAAAGTTTGCACTAAACATCTTCCATAACATCCCAATACCAGATCTCTATGTGGACTGTTCTTCAGCCTCTCTCACTATCTTATTCTGCAACTTGTAACACTACTTTAATATTTCATTTCTTTTTACAAAAGAGACAAATTTTACCTTGATTGGAAAATTTTGATTTTCCCTTCATTTACTACCAGAATAATTCTCGCCTTTTCTTCCACGATCTGAGTTAGTCGATCCATTCACCATGAAACTCTCTATCTATGACTCAAAACCAAATACAAGATGTTTCATCCTATCAAACGAGTGCAGACCATTTTACACTTCTCTAAGAGTGAGTGTTTCGCGATTGTACATGATTGTATCTCTAAAAGATGAGTAGGAAGGATGTAACGAACATAGGAGGATCAATTCTAAGTCTTCTTGGTCATACTTCACTTTTGAAGTCTCTAGATCATATATAATTTTATTAAATACCATTATATGCTCTTCAAGAGACAAACCTTTTGTCAACTTGAGCGAATAAAGACGTTACTTTAAGTGCTACTTGTTGGTCAACGATTTATCACAACGTCCTGAAAAATCAAAAAAATAATTTTAAGGAGTCTGTTTAGGCTAAAATTGGATTTTCAAAATAAAAACATGGTTTAAGGGAGTCACCGCCAATCTTTGCTAATCAACCAAAAATATTATTGTTTTAATAAAATTTAATTTTAAAATATTAAAACAACGTTTGGATCTACTTTCTAGAAAAACAAGTTTGGGAGTCAATTATGTGTAGGGAAGGATTAGCAACCCCACAACAGTCGAAAATTGGTACCTAGTCAATTAATTATTGTCTTTGCAATGGAATTTGTAGTTTCAAATTTTAATTTAATTAATAATCTCTTTTTTTTAGATAAATAAATATAATTTCATTTAACCTATTAAAATTTAAGAGGCAAAATTAACGATTTGTGCATTTAACCGGAGAAAAGTAACCTTCTAATATAGGGTAGGATGGCATCCCTCACATTTCTAACTAAACCAATGAATTACTAATCTTCTTCTTGAAAATTTTAAAGTTAAACAATCGGCATTTCAACATTTCAAAACAAAAAAGAACACCGCCTAATATAAGGTAGAGTGGTGATTTCTCATATTTAGAAAGAAACAAGAAATATCGTAATCATTGTGTTTATATACCTAAAGTTGTGCAACAAACAAAAGTTTTATTAATGGGAGATTATCGAACCTTGAAGATAGATAAGGAATGTTTGAATATTTATAAGTATCGAAACTAAACATATGAATAGGGTCGAGAGGGTCATTTTTATAAATCTAAATATAAGAACGTTTTCTTTTCTACTCTCTTGATTGATTTTAAAAGTTATCATTTTTTATTTGTTTTTCTGGAGGGTACTCGTTCACTTTAAATTATCGAATTAAACTACCCATGTGGATTAGGATAACTCGCCTTGATAATTTAAATCAAACGTGCATTGCCTTTAAATTTGTTATTGGAAAGTTCGAGTAATGTAGATGAGATTATCATGCTTGAAAAATAGTTTAAAATGTTCTGCAATCAATAATTAATTTCACAAAATAAGATAGAATCATTCAATCATGAATTAAATCAATTAATCATGCTTTAACTAAAACCAAAATTAAATAGGTGTGCTTGTTAATTAGTGTCACCAAATAAATCAATAAATTAATTAATGGCATCAACTAATCATACTCACTAAGGAATAAGAATCATAAAATTACAAACTATTTTAAGAAGACAACCAGATTAATTAATTATTAAACATAACAAAAATATGACATATAGTACTAATTTGATCATTATCACGAATCAAAACATAAATAATAAAGGATCTAATTTTATTAAAAATGAAATCCCAGGAACCCAGTTACAATTTTAAAAAATTATTCTAACGATCCTATGACTAAATTATAAACTCTTAAAACTGATAAGGACCACAGAAAATATTTACCCCAAACTCAAATTCGTTCATCCCCAAATCGAACCTGCTCGATTGAATATGTAACACCCCAACCCGTATTCGACCCGGATACGAATCCAATGTGACACATTGACTTTTCAAATCGTTTACTTTTAAAAGATAGTTGAAAATTTAAACTTTTATTTATAAAAATGGTGGAACCCTTGATCAAAGTATATAAATAGAATTTAACTTAATTTGAAAATAGAAACTCAATCATTTACATAAATATAATAGTTTATGTTTACAAAAATGATCAAAGCATATGTGATTCAAAGCTTTAATTACATGCCAACACATTTAGTACAACAAAATAACAAACTTTGTAAATCACTTCTGATATGATCTTCTTATAGAGATATGTTGTCTTGACTGATCCTAGCTTTGTTCTTCCTGCTTCTTTGTTCCTACGTGTGAAACACTCACACGCTAAGTCATTGACTTAGTGAGGCATATAAAGTGCGTAATAAAACATTAAAACACTTAATCATATTCTAAGCATTTTCTAAAATCATATAAAGAAACCATAGAACACATCATAGAACCAAAAGCATATATATCATCATGCATGTACATTTATATCATTTCTTTTAATAGCACGTGGTATATCATTGAGAACTTAAGGTATGTGAGTGCATTGAGGTTGTGAACTAATGATGTCACCATAGCTCGTATAAATTGTACCGAAGTGCCGTGTAGAAATTGCACCGAAGTGCCACATAGATATGTTCCAAAGGACCGCGTAGAAATGTCCCGAAGGACCAAGTAGAATTGTCCCGAAGGACCGCGTAGAACCCTCGACTCTTGGCATGCCAATCATACCTTTAGCTCTCGTATCACATACTTTTGGGCTTTATCATTTATAACATTTCACATAGGTTATATCACATTACATATATTCACATAGATCATTGTCACATAGCTTATATCATATTTTCATGTAATCACATAGGTCAATGCCACATAACTTATATCACATTTTCATGTAATCACATAGGTCAATATCATATAGCATCTGGACATAAATAGGTGTTTACACAATTTTTGCATACATAGTTATTCTAATTTCACCCATAAAGAAGTAGCATTTTTTCTTTCACCACATCCTGCAAAATTTGATTTGATAAGTGTAAACGAATATGAGAAATGACTATTCATCCTTACATTTCTCATCAAATCATTTCATTTCATCGTCGAAATTTAACTGTGCAATAATATCCCGAATCTTTATCTATCATATTGATAAACATGTTATTTCAATCCAAAAGCGGAATATCATACTTCATTATTACCGTAATATTGAACCGAAGCTTAAATACCAATTTCTTATAATGTTATAACGATTATCGGCAAACAAATAAACACGATCGAAAAAGAAAAACAAAGAACACCAAGACATAGATATAGGAAAAAGTTTAGTGAAAGAAAAAATTGATTTTTAACTCTTACCTTAGTATCTATTTATAGGAATAGATACTTGATTATAAAGTAAAGTTAAATAGAATAGAAATCTACTTTTAATAAAGTTATCTATTTTTAATTAAACTAGGATTATTACATTTCAAATTTAAATATAAATTAATTTGTGTCACGTAAAATTCAAGTCAAACTTTAACAGATAATATATGGTAGAAAATATATATTTACAATGATAATATCGAATAAGAGGCATGTAATGTGAAACAGAAGATCCCCTAGCAATATAACCACTAGGGATGTCTCGCCAAAAATGCATCGCCAGTGATGTATCATCGGAAATGTACCTCAAGAAAATGTAGCAACAGAATATAACAACCGCATCATAGAAATACGATTAATAAACGCATGTATAAATATTCAAATGATTAATATCTAAAATTGAAATTAACATGTAAAATTATATTAGTGTTAATAATCTTTAAATTACACATTATTTAACTTGTATGACATCTCATACTAAAAGGAGAAAGACACCACATCTATAATACCAGTACTAATTTAAAAGTTCGTAATTTTAAAGATCAAAACTACATGTTTGATATTTCAACATCAAAATTTGATACACATCCGGATTTTCAGTTTTATATCAGGTCTAACAATTTAACACAATGGAACTTCTCTTCAAATTTATGTAGCAGAAGAGTATTTGAACACCAATATCGATCCATCAAGACTGGTTAGGTTTGACATAGTTGAATGACATTGCATATCAAGTTATACATTAGACGACACAAACAAAATTGTCTGTCCGAGGGTAGACGGACCGATGAATGTTTTTCGAAGTACGTAACTAACATAGACACATGCACCACACCAATGTGATAACAGACTTGAAATAACAATGTTCCAAGGCTCCAGATCCCGTCACTCATAAAGATAGACTCCAAGATAAGCTTAATAGCATCAGGTCAGCTGACAAGAAAAGAAATACCTTGGAGTTACCAATAAATCCGTATAATGAATTGAAACACACATTTAATAGACGTGGAAGTAATAAAGGAAGGAATTACCCTTGGAAGAATTTTGGGTTTTCATTGCGAGGCTTCAACCTCAGCAACTCCACCACCCGCAGGCCCGTAGTTCGATTCATTCTCGGAAGTATCTATGCGAGGGCTGTTCTTAAACTGCTCCACATGTTGTAGGACCAATGGAGAAGGAACATCTGAGACCTGATGAGAAAGGTTTTGTTTAATTTGTGAGTTGTCTGATATGCAACCCATTGGCAAACTCATTAAACTCGCTGATTTGCGTTCACTTGGGAACTTTATAGAAGCAGGTGATTCAGGGGTCTCAGGATGCTTTCCCGACAACTCCAGAGGCCGATGGAAGAGTAAATGAGCAATGGTACGGTCTATGGGATTTGTTTGTGTTTCAGCATTAGACATCCTGTACCATTGCGTTCAAGGAGAATAATGAGACTTAAAGATTCTAATGCAATCTAACTCAAACAGGCATAAAAATGCAGAGCAAGTAAAGTGAATACTTAACAAATGACTGTTGATTCAGGAAAAGACCCGGAATATTCATAAGAACAACTTCAAAATGAAATAATGCAAATAGTAAGCAAGAAAACAAATCAAATGAAACATCATTAATGCTTTTGAGTTTGTTTGAGGGTAAACAGATCATGGAAACTTAAGAAATCACCACAAGGAGGCAGCTATATCATAAACACAGTTAGGCATATACTTCAGTACACACCCCACATGTAAATGTCATAAAACTAAGATAAAATTGATGTACAAGAAAGAGACCAAAAGCCCATCATTTTAGCAGGTATCAAGGAAAGAAGGTAACTGAGTATTAAGAATAATTCCCTTCCAAGATGCTATAATGGAATAGGATAATGCAAATTAAACGGTTCTGCTCGGCAGAGTTTCATGGTAGGATTCAGTAAACATGTTCCTTCTGAAAAAGGCTCGCAGGGCATATTGTCGGTCGTCAAAGTCCAATAGTGACAACACTATTGCAAAATTTACTTCTGAAAGGAATACGGAGTTTAATATCTTTGGGTTTTTTCTCTAGTTTTCTACCATGAGAAAACTCAAGCAATCATATTGCCATGCCTGACACCCATATCCATGTAAAACAGTGTAACCTTCATTTATGTATTTCAAGCACAGGCTAAATTCAAAAGTTACCAAAATTTGACAAGTTAGAAAAGGATCAGCCAATTCTCAAAAAGATGAAAGCAGCAAGAACATCAATTTTTCTTGACCAACAAAGCAAGCTACACAAGCAAGAAATAGTAGAATGCACTTTTTCTTCTAGAATTTCAGTCACAACTAAAAACACATTGATGCCTTGGTCAGAGTTCATCCTGTTTACTGGCACAAACCATGGTTAACCTAGTACTATTTAAATGGAAGTAAAAAAAACGTCATAAATAAAGAAAAGTGTAAGTTCTTCAGTCCAACAACCTAGAAACGAAAAGAAGAATCTTATCTTGAACACCACTTTTTATTTATATTTTTCATCTAGGCTCACAATACATTGATGCCTCAGTAAGTCTGCATTCAGCCATTAGTAGTGCAAATCTTAGGTGATCAAGGGCTATTTAATTTTAATAAAACCTTCCAAGAGTTCATGACAGAGATTAACCTTTAGAAGGATAACACAAAATCAGTTTCACTTTTGACATGAATATATATCTGCACCAGCATAGAGTCTTCTAACCTGTTATAGTTCTTATTTTCTTCTTTAGCAACTTCAATTTCATCCCTGACAATTTTATTAGTGCTGCTTGTCTCACTAGCAGAATGCCTCTGCATTGCACTTTGAGCCAACCGGAACAAACTATCTCTTATGCAAAGTCGAGTCCTCACATCCAACTGCAAAAATTGATTCTAGATGTCACTAAATCCTCATGACCAGATAGGAAGAATCTCAACTGCATGTCAAGCATACCTTTGCAACTATTTCTTGTAGCTGATGAAGTACAGTATCCTCCACAGAATAGTCATCAATTGCAACAGAGACCATACTAGAATCATCTTGCTCTAGAGGTGAGTTCCGGTCAAAAGAAGGAAGAGTGTTAAGGTCTTCAACGTCAGCTCCCTCAACATGCTGAAAATGATTTTCTTGAGTTGATTTTTGAATGACAGATTGATTGGTACAAGGAACTTGATGAGTTAATTGTTGCTTCTGTTTCTGAATGGCAAGCAGTGCTTGCATTTGCTGGCGCCGTCTCAATTTTTCAATTTTTTCTTGAGGTGTCATTCTCAAAACTGAGATTTTTAAAGGATTTGACTGGCCAGGGGAAACATCATAACAAGGAAGCTCGGTTTGCTGATTAAATTCCCCAGACTGGATGTTGGGTAACATAGGTATCGCAGGATATTGGTTCGTAAGATTCCCATACATAGAAGGGGCTACAAACATATTGGAGACATGCTGGTACTGCAGTGAGTCGGATCCTTGAAGCTGCCTCTGCTGACTAATAACTGAAGATGGAGAAGATTTTAGCATCGAGGTTGCCACATTATTCTCATATTGGGCCAATGGATTTCCAGCTGGAGTCCAGGTATGTAAATCTTGTGCTTGCTTTGCCTTACCTATTTCTTCAGTTTTTCTTCGATTTTTCAACAGCCTTTTCTGCCTATATGCCTGCACAGAGAAATATTAAATGAAAAATACAATATTCACCACCTGAAGCAAAGACCTAACTTTATAAAGATGATAAATTTATGTCGATAATTTTATATTTATTATTCACAGCGGTCTCTAAACTCCAAGGGAAGAAAAAGAAAGTGGAAAGACAAGAGAAACACAATTCGCATTGATGGTCAAACAAGGTAAGAGAGAAAAACTTATATCACCATATATAGCTATCCAACTTTAAAATGTTTCAAACTTAGCTGCTGCCTGAATGGAAGGTGTCTTTTTAGCATAATAAATTTTATATTGGACATGTGAATACAGTAATACACTCTCAGCATCAATTAGCAATTACAAACTCCTAGATGTATCAGCATCAATTAGCAATTACAAACTCCTAGATGTATCAGCATCTACCAAAAGGTTCAAAATCTTGCAATTATAATTCAGTCAGTCCACAATGACTGAGACATCATAAAACCTTGTTACAGGACAATGAAAGATAGTATTTTATTCTAAATCTTGAAGATAAGTACCAGAAACACAAGATAATTTGAATAGTTAAGAATCAGGGTAAGATAGGAATACCTTAGGGCCCAGTTCCAGTTCATTAGGGGCCGCAGCTTTTTCTGCAAAGGGATTAGACTTCGATGAACCAATCTTTCCCACAGTTTTTACATTCGTCTGAGGAAGCAAAAATAGAAATTATGTGCCTACTTTAGATTGATTGTCTAAGTTAAAAGCATTAGTAACTAAGAATTGATTATACTGCATGTTAATATTTAACACCTGCTTCTCCATTACAGATTTGCTTTTATCCCCGCGTAATTCCAAATTATGCAGACCATGAGATGTGGAATCATCCAGTTTCCCATAACTAAGGGTAAATGACTGGTTCTCTTGTCGTTCATATCCTCTTTGGACTTCCAAATGTCCAGATGTGCTCCTAAGAGCCGGGTTAGGATAATCCAAATTTGTAAGAGAGGATTTTCCAGGGCTGTTTGTTACCTCTTTAGATGATGACCATAAACCATCAGCACTACCAAGACTTACATTGCCAAATATTGGATCATCATTGCTGCAAAATAATCACTTGTGAGAATATTGAGTAGGATGGATGCCATCATATATGATAAAAAAGAGAAACAAGGAATAGAACATTATGCTTGTAGTTCTTCTTCACTTGAAGGGGAGGGGATATTGGACCCTCTTAAATTTTCTTCTTATACAAGTTTGACACACTGCTACACGATCAAGGGAAACAAATAACAAGTGCATATTAAATATGGCCAACTAGACTGAACAAACTGCTATAGGAGTTTCAGCTTCTAAGTTCAAAGGGTACATAGAATAGTTATAACTAAGATAAATGAATATTCAGTGTTTACAATAAAACGAATGGTCATTATTTGAATACACAGAGATTTTGACAAAAGAATTAAGTTGGGGTTACTTATTCCAAACAAGATGTGAGAACTATAATAAGTACTACCTGACTACACAAATGCCTATCTTCTGCACTAGAATGTTACAACAGTGCTTTCTAAGCTTCAATGAAAGATCTAAATTATTGCTTACCTGAAGATTCGATCAAGATCATCAAAGCTTCCAATGTTAGCCCAGCTGTAGTCGACAAAGTCACCTTGTTCTTTACCTTCATTCGGATTTTGAAAATTTTCAGGATCTTTACTAAGTTCAGTCATCTCTCCTGTAAAGAGAATGTATATAACTAAGTTATAAAACAATAAAGATAAATATGATATTGGCTTTAGTCTGAAACTCTGAATAGCTAATATTCTTACCATCATTCGAACTAGATTTAGCTACTTCAACCAAACTGTTAGAGACTTTGCTATCAATGGAATCCTTGTACGTTTTTGCTGCATTAGATAAAGATAACTCTGGCAACAAGCCCATGGCAAATCCCGAGGTGGCAATCCCTCCATTTGCATTGTAACTGGAACTGCCTTCCAACTTTTTTCGATGAAGATCAACTCTGTCTCCTGGTGTCTTTTCCTCCGAACACTTTATGGTTGCAGTTTCTTGACTCCATTCTATCTTACTATGACAGTTGCCACTTCCCTCTTGATAAGGTACTATATGGTCATCAGTCTCACCAACCTCATCCCATATTATATTTGTTAGCTGAAAATACAAAAAAGGCTCCACATTACCACTGATATCACATCCAATAAGGTATAATTATATCCTTCAGCAACAAAAATAACAAAAAAAAATTAAAAGGACAATTTGAGGGCCATGGAAAAGCTGCAGGGTGAACGGGCTTGTCTGATTATATTTTCATTTTGGGTGCTTTCTAAAACCAATCACTTGCAATAATTATAATTTCTCCACAGAGAAAATATATGAGATTTATTGGATGGAAATTACGACCAAATATCATCAACTTTCCTCAAACCCAGATGATTAATAACTTCTAACGTAGCCTCGTTTGTTTCACAAAGCCTCTTAATATTCTTTCCTTTCAGCTCAAATGTCTTGACCTCACTTGGCATTGATTAAATATTCCTTCAACATTTGATTCCAAAACTAAATGTCCTCAAGAACGTTTATTGCTTCTATGTTGATTGATTAGAGCTAGTTGTGTCTATGATTTACTTTGAATTACAATCTGCTGCAATCTTCCCAGAAACAGAACCTAGATAACACTACTTTCCATAGGCGTAAAGAGGATGAAATTGCAAAAACAAAACAAAATACTACATACGGTTGTCCCACTCAGAGGACAAGCTAACTGATTCAAAACCTAAGAATCAATCACTATTTGATAGAGGAAACAAGACATATTTTAAGTGGGTGGTCGAGAAGATATAGGGCACCCTAAGTATATGCTACCTGTACTACTCCAAAAACTAACACACCAGGCATTAAGGTAAAACAAATAGCGTAGGAAGTGTTCTCCAAGGAGCTCTTGTATACTCCATTAAGAAAAAGAGGCTCTCCATTGCACATTAACCATATGCTTACCAGGTGGACTAGTTTGCCCCATATTTATTCTTGTTTGTCGTGATTTCGAGTTCCTAGTACTGAAGAAGTTCTTTACTATGAATTTCAGTTCACCTTATAAAGAACAAAGCTCCATTTTCACCCAAAAGAAAAACATCCTTCACGTATTTCTAGACAAAAACCATTCCTAGAATTCCTCATCTCTAGAACAGCTTATTAAATTTGCTTTATCCTACAACCCTGCTTTCCTGAAAATTCCATTTATTTCAACCAAACAAAAAATAACAGCATATTTCTAACAATACAATCCTATAAATAGTTTTTACATAATATTATTGCAAACAACAGAAAACCAAGCCCCAACAGTACGGTGAATGGAAAATGAAAATAATTCCAAGTGCAAAATGCTATTTTCATAATTTTTTAAAAAATGTACGAAATGATTACAGTTACTATAATTGATTGTTTCAACACAATCTTAATCCAAAATATTTCCTTAAATAGAAACCTGAGCAGGTTCTATTTAGTTTTTATATTCAAATGAGAAAAAGAAAAAAAACAGAGATGGAACATGAAAACAGAGCAATTTCAACTGGTCTGATGGATTGAGATACTAATTCCTTTAAGGTCAAAAGGTTCAAAACATATTTTATGCAAAAACATAGCACAAAAAATGAATAAAGAAAAAAGCAAAAAAGAGAAACAAATAATTTAGATCTAAATACCTCTTCTTCGTTCCAATCAAACATATCTAAAGAAAGCGCTGTTAATCACAAATCTACTTCTGAATTCCGAACCAAAGGCAGGCTCTAAAATTGCTCCACGCATTGCCAATTCCACCACGAGCAAGTAGCAAAACGAAAAACCTAAAACAACAACGAAAGAGAACACATATCCAAACAAATAAATTAATATAATTTTTTTGGTTATTTTTATTATTATTTTTGGATTTGAAAACACAGAGGAGTGTGCAAAATCACGAAGTAATAGAAAGAGTTTGCCGTAAACAATGGAAGGGGATAAATGGGTGGGGGAAGTTTGGGGATGGTGGGACTGGGACCCACTGATATTGATGTGCTGATTGAGTGGCATATGAAGGTGCCACGTGTAAAGAGGCATAGCTAAAGATGTGGTCTAGAATGAACCGATCTTTTGCTGAATTGTGATTGGGCGGCTTTGATCACACTTCTCGGGTAGAATATCATTTTCAGTCCTTCATATTAACAAACATGTACATACAACCCCCTCTGCAAGACAAATTCCCAAGTTTTGAGAATTTAATTTGCCTTTATTTTTCTGCTAGAAATTCCTGGAAAGGTGTAGGGTTTTGTGGTTAGTGGCCAATTTGCAATTTCGCTTTCATTGGCTAAGACCAGGGCTTGAGGTTTAATCCCAAAGTCTTTTATAATCTTTTAGATAATTTTTTTTATTTTCTCAATTATGCAAAATTAATAATGTTTTCAATATTTCATTTCATTGAATCATTCCCATCTTTGCAACTGTGTTAGCCCTTAAGCTAGTGAAAGGCTTCTATCCATCAATAATAATTCACTTCTACTATATTATCTTTTATATCATCACGAACTAAGTTACCTCAGTAATAAATAAATTGTTGTTATTTTTTGAGGATATGAGTTCAAACACTAAAATTATTAGGGGTGTGAGCGTTCAATGTCAAATGATTTAGGGTTATCTTCCAACTAAAATCTTGAACTCTTTAAATGGTCATAGTGACAAAAAAAGAATATTATGGTCCGTTAGATTCTATAAAATATTTTCTATTTTTATTTTCTATTTTTTTAGAAAATAGTTTTCATTTTCAATTTTTTGAAAATTAGAAAACATATTTGGCTAATATAAATGAAACTTGAATACAAAACTAAAATACTAAAAGTATATTTGGTATCTAATTTTTATTTAAAATAAAAATAAAAAATAGTTATTAAATAATTAAATTATATTATAATTATTAAACATCGTTGCATAAATTTAACATATGAGTTATACAAATATAAAACAATAAATTTGATAAGAAATTACATAACATAAAAAATATTTTAGTTTATTATAAGAACATATGTTAATGCATATTATATATTAATTAAATTTAAAAATATATAAAAATATTGTTATAAGTAATAGCACACAAAAGTGTCATTGACATAAAAATATGTTTAGTGATAAATAAGACCCTCAAACTTTTGGAAAAAATAATTAGTGTATCCCTTGAACTTTTTCTTGCACCAAATGTGATTGTTAAACTCAAAAAAAAAAATCTAACCCTTTGAACAACATAATTAGATGTTGACTGTCACGACGCTTACATGACAGTTCACAAACTTACATGACAATCTACAATATTGATGTGACAGTTAGTGATACTGTTGTGACAGTACTCGATGGACGATGATGTGATAGATGAACTTAATTGGTTATTTTAGAAAGTTTTAGGACTTATTAACTTTTAAAAAATTAAAAAGTTAATTAAATTAAAGTATAAAATATAAAAATCATTAAAATATTCAATAAATTAAATATAAAAATACTACAAAATTAAATTATTAAAAAATTAGTTTAAGGATTACATTAAGTGTAAAAAAAGTTTAGGAATCATATTGACTTTTTTACAAAAGTTTGAGGGTTTTGGATACCATTAAATCAAAAATTATTGAAAGAAATATTTAAACATGTGTAAGTTAAATAAAAAAATATTATTAGAATAATTTAAATATGTCCAAGTTAATTTAAAAATCTAGATATAATGTTTCTTTATTTTTAGAATTTTCAAAACAATTTTAATGAAAATACTGATTTTTTTGTTTGTTTTTATATTTCATTTTTTTTCATTTTTGAATTTTACAACCAAACATATTTTCTTCAACGTTTTCTATTTACTATGAAAATGAAAATAATTCATATTTTCTAAAGCCAAATGGATCCTTATTTTCTAAAAGATTCGAGTTCAAACAACTGTGTTTATATGTGTTGAAAACATTTTGATATTTCGATATAACAAATTAAGTTAAATGAATTTTAAGATTTTCCAAATGATTTTCTAAGTATATTCGATAGAATTATTCGAATATCAAAACATTACTCCAAATCTTTCAAAGATCATTTTTAATCCTTACTCAAAGTGTAAAATTAAGTTTTAATCTTAAAACAATTTCAAAATAATTTTACAAAGTATTTCGAACCATTTCAAAGCCAAAAATTCCAGATTGCTCAGAGGGAACCGATTCCCCCCTAAGGGGGTACCGATTCCCCCTTGAATGGTTTGGCTCCAAGAATTCCAGTATGCTCGGAGGGAACCGATTCCCCCTCAGGGGGTACCGATTCCCCCTTTGTATAACAGTCGAAATATTTGAATTTTACACTTAGGGAACCAATTCCCCATAGGGGGTACCGATTCCCCCACGCTCCAAGTTGTTTTATTAATTATTTTCACACTAAAACGGCTATATGATCTTCACTAATCATCCCCAACGTTTAGAAGTGATTCAAGGTGTATTTAAGCAAGCTTAGAAGCCATTGATCAACAACAAGAAACATCAAGCAATTTGAATCAAGAGAGAATCAAAGAGAAAGCATCAAACCTCAAGTTTGACCATTTCAAGCCTATTTTTCATTCAATATTCATTTTGCTTTCAAGAACACTTATTGTGCTCAATTGTATTTATTCTTGAGTGTTCCTTCTTTGTTCTAGAATTGTGCAAACATATTTGCCTTGTGAGGTTTTTCTTGTAAGTTTGCAAATTTGTATTTCTCTTTGAGAAAAGAGTGTTCTCAAGAATTGGGGTATATTCTTGAGGGAGTTGTAAGGTTATCTCTTTGGCCTCAAAAGAAAGAACAAATTAGTGAATTTGTTGGAAAATCCTTAGTGTGGATAGCTAAGGTAGTGGACGTAGACTTTGGTTGATAAAGTCGAACCACTCTAAATCGCTGTGCAATTTCTTTCAATTTTCTGCAAAAGCTTCCACCAAACATTTTATTGCCAATTTACCCCCTCTTGGCCGATTCAGTCAATCGATTAACTCAACAATTGGCATCAGAGCCTAACTCATTTGAAGGTTTACTCGCCTCTTGAGTCGATTCGGGAAGAGTTATATCGATAATCAAAGTCATCAATGGCCTCCGCTTCAAACTTCGACTCCGGTCTCGACTCGATGCCCGTCAACAAGCCTCCTTTCTTCAATGGAGCTAACTATGCCTATTGGAAGAATAGAATGATGTACTTCATTCAAGCAAGTGACATGGGAGCATGGAATGCTTTAGAAGAAGAATACATCAAACCTCTCACTCATCCAAGGTTGTGGAGTGAATGAGAGACAAGAATGTTCCAGCTCAACTCCAAAGCCATCCATATCATTTTTGTGCTCTTGTACCAGATGAATACGGAAGAGTTTCATCGTGTACAACCACCAAAGAAATATGGGACAAACTTCAAGTCACTCATGAAGGTACCGATGAGGTAAAGAAATCTAAAATTAGTATTCTAACGCATAGCTATGAAAATTTCAGGATGAAACCAAATGAAGATATCAAAGCTATGACGGATAGATTTTCAACGATTGTCAATGGTCTCAAATCATATGGAGAGATCATTTCAAATGAAAAGCTTGTGAGGAAGTTAGTCTACTCCCTCCCAAAATCGTGGCAATCAAAGAAGATGGCAATCATCGAGTCTAAGGACTTAACGTCCTTAACTCTTGAAGATCTAATTGGGTCACTCCTCACTCATGAAATGATGCTCGAAGATGAGGTGGACCTCGACAAGATTGACGAGATACCAAAGGAGAAGGAGAAGAAGAAAAACATTGGAGTTGCTCTCAAATCCGCAAAAGATGAGAGTGATTCGAATAACGATGACGATGATGAGGAAATGGCATTGTTTGCCAAACGGTTCAGAAAAATGATGAGACCTTATCGAGGAAGAAAATTCAAACGAAATAAAGGCCTCAAAAATGAACCGAAAGAGAAAGACCCAATCATTTGCTACGAATGCAAAAAGCCAGGGCATGTCAAATATGATTGCCCACAATTGAAGAAAAATGATCAATCAAAAAATAAGCACAAGGCTCATGTGGCTATATGGAGCGATGAAGAAAGTTCCGATGAAGAGGAACAAGAAGTAGCTAACTTGTGCTTGATGGCATTTGGGGAAGATTCTAAGGTAACCTCTAACTCATCCGATTTTGATGATTTATCCTATGATGAGTTATTAGAGGAATATAATGGGTTGGCTTCGGATTATGAGAAATTATTTTTAAAATATAAAAATGATGTTTCAAAATTGAAAAATGAAAACAAACTCATATCCAAAACCAACAACGATCTTGAAAGTAAAATCAAAGATTTGCAAATCAAACTAAAAGAGTTTGAAAAGAAAAATTTAGATTTGAAAAATTTACTTTCAAAGATCAATGATGATCATCAAAAGAAAATTGATGATCTTAAAACTTCTTTTGATAAAGTTGGAACAAAACATTTTGAAAAAGGTGGAAATTCAAAATCCAACTTTGTTAGAAAAAGTTTTAGAAACAATCATAGAGGTCCCTAAAGAACCTCTAATAGAAAAATCGTTAGAAGTATGTGGGTTCCTAAAGAACTCATTACTACTAAAGATAAAAATATCCTACACAAATGGATACCTAAGGGGACTAGGATTTTGGAAACTAATGAATATGGACCCAAAAGAATTTGGGTACCAAAAATCAAAAATTAATCTATGTTTGTAGGGAAAGTAGCATTGCTACAAGGCACGGGAAACAAATTCAAATTCATGGTACCTTGATAGTGGATGCTCAAGACACATGACCGGAGACAAAAGCCGGTTCATTGAGCTTAACGCCAAAAATGGAGGAGAAGTGACTTTTGGAGACAATTCAAAAGGTCACATTGAAGGTATTGGTACAATAGGTAATACATCTTCCATACAAATTAAAAATGTTTTATATGTGAATGGATTAA